GGAAATGTAAGCCTCTCTGGTTTTTAATTGGGACAGAATGCCGGAGCAGATAAAGTGCCTTGAAAATAACGATGCGATCCAGAGCTGGAGGAGGAGAGAGGAAGCCAAAGCTCTCCCCACCTTCTCCTCCTCTGACCACAGAAATCCTCCCTGGAGTATAGACAGCGTTGGCTTGGAATTTGCTGGGGGAAGAAGGAAGCGAGAGGGATGGGCCAGAGGCCGCCCTGCCGCCCACTCACCTCGCGGTCCTCTCTCCATCTAATGAGCTGTAAGGCCAGAAGCCAGCGCCAGTCTGAGGATGAGGAGGCCTGGCCAGGGCTAGTTCTCATCAGCAGATTCCCGGGAGCTATGGAAATGAAGCGGCCTGGTGGACGGCAGATAACCGAGTGGCCCGGGGCTGCAAGGAGCTGAGTGTCTTTCTCCAGTTGTTTAATATTTATCACAGTGGGAGCTCTGGGCGTCCAGCCTGGGGGGGAGGGGGGTAGAGGGGAAGGTGTGTGCAAGTATGCATGCCTGCACGGGGCCGGGAAGACCCAGGTTGCATGTGCTGCTTTTGACTGCTCAGTGCCAGACATCACTCCAGATAGAGGCCGACCCTTGGGGAGGACGCCTGGAGAGGAACCAGGACACTTCTCCCTGCAGGGAGGCTGTCACGAGGACGCGGAGGCTGCGAGCGTCTCTTGAACTGTGGAAAAGCCCCAGTAGATGGAGAGACAGATGCCTGCCAAGCGGAGAGGACCTGCCTCTTCCCTTTGGCACTTCTGGAACGCCAGCCCCACATGCCCAGCCTGCTAGCGCCTGAGACCATGTGATGTCATTTTCTATCCAGCACCTGGCATATTTCTTTGTTTTTAAGCAAAACGATCATAACCATGGTCTCTTATGCATAAATCATTTCACATTTTGGACGTTTACAGCTATTGTTTTATAGGATTAGGTGTCTCATTTTCACATGAGAGGTCAAATCAAAGTGCTCATTCAGATTGGATCTTGGACCAGAAGCCTGGTTTAGCCAATTTTCTTTCCACTGATGGCACTGCCATGGGGGCCGCCTTCATAGGTACAACGGCCAAAGTGAACACACCTAGAGAGCAGCCCAGGAGTTTAGGGGTGCTCTTGCCTCCACCCCCAAATCTACTTTACTGCCTTTCCCTGGTGGCATTTGGGAGGTCCATCTGGAGATGGATAACCACTTGTCCTTGAGAAATGGAGGCCCTTTGCTCTCCCAGAAGAAAGGGCAGAGGAGAGTGACATGGTTACATCTCCTGCTTCCTCCTTTCGTGTCCTGCACCTGCTGACTAACCTGCATTGGGAACCTGCCGTATGTGCAATTTGGTGGCGAAGGAAAAGAACCCCGGCTGGACACTGTGGGCGCCGCGTGCTGATGTAACCAAGGCTCTCAGAGCTCTCAACCGGCCGGGCAAACCCTTGAGCCTTCCTTCCTATTCCCTGTGCTGTCCTCACTGGGAGAAGTAATTCAACCTGCAACTTAAGCAAAGGCTGTGGGAGGCCCCTGAGCTCAGCTGGAAAGAAAAAGGGGGTATTTTTGCTTCTAGAGGAAGAAAACTCATTTTCCCAATGCACCTCCGCCCCCTCCCCCTGTGCCGATGAGCTTAATTTTCTTCCCCTCCTAATGAAGATGGATCCAAGCAAAGCTGGGTATTCAAGGGGGAGCCAGGCAGGGGAATGAGTGAGGGAATGAGGGGGCAGAAACAGCTTCTCTTGTGGAGAGGAAGTAATTAATTTTAAGAGAGAGCAGAGATAGGGAAGCCCTTGGTGATAGAATGTCAAACTCCAAATGCAGGTGGATAAAAATTAAATGAGAGCATGGCGAGTTTCTTTTGTTCATTCACTGGCTCATTCATTCAGCAGATGCTGGGTTCCTGCTGCGCATGGGCAGCCGCCTCAGGAGCGCACCGGGAGAGGGTCCCGTTACTCCTGCCCATAGCAGGGCACAGGTAGCTGGTGGGAGGGTGTGGCATCTGGAAACCAAAGCCTCTTGTCATTAGGACAAAGCATTGTCTGAGTGTATTGGCCTTTGGAATTTAGGATTCGTTGCTTAAATATCAGCAGCTGAGGCCCCGGCTCTATCCGACCAGCTCGTTCCATCATGGGTTAAATAGTAATGTTGTCCATTTGCTTTTCTGGTCGCTGATTGCATTGTCCTCTGACTGAGTTCTGCCCTCAGTCCAAAAATTAGATTAGCCCCTCCCTTTCAGTGTCTGTTGTGACATCACAGAATTGCCATAACAACGGACTATGATGTCAACAGAATGCCTGGTGCTGCTAAAAGGAAGTATGTTGGTCAGAAAGGATTCTATCACCCGAAGACAAAGATGGAATGATCTGGAAAGCCAGAGGAACTGGAAATTGGTATCAGAAGGGACACCTCGGCGGTATAAGAAAACAGCGGGTCTGGAGCCTTCTTTGTGAGAACCCTTTACAAACAAGCAAGGCACTTAAGGAGACTGACTGGAGAGCCAGCGGGCGTGCCTGGAGGCGGGGGATGGAGGAGATGACCTTCAGAGGCCCTTGCAGCCCGAGGGCCCTAAGCCCTGGAGGATGCCCGGAGAAGGGGGAACTTGACCATCTGCGGTGTGGAGAGTTCAGGGAGTGAACGGCAGTGCAGCTCCCCTTGCCCTTGAGCAGATCTGAGGGTGCCAGCTGGAGTTCATCATATCGCATCTGGAAGATTTTCAGAAATGAACACACAGTGACCCCCTGAGCCCCTTTGCCGCCCTCTTCCTCACGAGCTTTGGGAAGAAGCTTTCCTTCCGTTTCTCCTGAGCAAAGAAGCTGGTTCTTGCCACCGGCTCTGGCTCGCCAGCTCCACGTGCTCTTCTGCGGGACCACCCCAAGCCGAGAGCAAGTGCGCTGGCGCTGTGTCCAAAGGGAGCGCGCGGGGGACTTGGCAAAGCTTCGCTCATTCTGCTCCTGTCCAGACAGAAGAAGGCTGGGCAGGCTGGGCGAGGAGAGGAGATAGATCCACCTCAGTGTCCGGGCAGCAATAGCCCACGAATCCGGAGCTTGCTTTAACCCCTGAGCCCACAGCATCGGAGCGTCTGGGCTGGGAGTCGCAGGCAGGGAGGACTGTCTTCCCCCAGGTCGGCTGGCTGAGCTGCTGCTGTGCAGACGGGCATGCCAGCCCCAGACTCCTCCGCCTGCCCAGCTGCTCTGTGTCCTTAGCTCAGTGAGGTCGGACGACCTGGAAGGTGTGCACCTGCTCCGTATGCCTGTCTCCGTCTCAGCATGTCCTCCCGGGGGACTTGGACTGGGAGGGGTCGCCCTGCTCGCTTTACTCTGCCGGGAGCACTCTGATGGGCTGGATGCTGGGGAGCTACCGGCCCCATAGAGCACCTGGGCACCCTTCCCACCACCTGGGGAGAGCCCGCCCCCTTCCCTCGTGCTAGAGCCGGGAGGGAGGGGGGACCAGCAGCATCTGGAGCTCGGCCAGGGACCGAAGGACTTACTGCTCAGAGGATGGTAGGAGCAGGGTGGCTGGGAGGTCCTCCGAGGCTGCCGAACGGGGACAGAGCTGCCAAAACGATGTTGAAGTTTCGGGCCGATCGCCGGGTCAGGTAGGGATTTCTTCAGCGGACATAAGCCCAGCGCAGCGAGAGCAGGCGGAGTTGGCGGCTCCTTGGCCCCCGGGCTTCAGAGTGTGGGGTCTGCCGACCCGCCCTGGAGGCGGGAGACGGTTAGGTCCGTGGCTGCTGCATTGCAGTGCTTGTCAGGGGGAAGCTGTGCTGGAACTGGCGGTGCCCGGCTGGAGAGAGGACGTCATTTGTAGGGGTTGCTGGGTAGAGCGTCTGGGGCAGGGAGGAATTGGCGGTGCCCTGAAAACAGTGCCAGCTGACAGCAGACTGCGTGTGTGCGTGTGCGTGTGCGTGTGTGTGTGTGTGTGTGTGTACTGGTGCCTGCTGGGAAGGTGTCAGCAGAGTTAGCACAGGAGTGTGTAAAGCATGGGGGACTGGGGCGGGGACAGGTGCCCTGTGTCACATGGGGAAAGCAGAGACCTTGGCACCTGAAGGACCTTCGTTGTCAGACCGCCCGCCCCCTGGGCCCCGGGGGGCAGAGCCAGGGATGAGGGGGACTGAAAACAGCCACCCATCCTTGCGAAGGGCCCCTGTGGGTAAGTTGAGGAGAGCGTCCTGGTTGCACCTGGCAGGGAGGAAGGAAGAGAGTTTGAGAAGCGGGAGCAGGTGATCAATATACTCATGTTAGAACCCGGGCCAGGTGGACACTGGCCGGACAGGGTCCTGGCCAGCAAGCCCAGGCCGCAAAACCCAGCTTTCCCCCTAGGCCAGCGGTTCTCAACCTGTGGGTCGCGACCCCTTTGGCGGTCGAATGACCCTTTCACAGGGGTCGCCTAAGACCATCCTGCATATCAGATATTTACATGACGATTCATAACAGTAGCAACATTACAGATATGAAGTAGCAACGAAAATAATTTTATGGTTGGGTCACAACATGAGGAACTGTATTTAAAGGGCCAGAAGGTTGAGAACCACTGCCCTAGGCCATCACCACTGCCCCACTGTGCTTCCATCCACTACATGCCTTTGAGTTTGATCTCAACATGGCTGGTTTGGAAGCCAGAAAAATACCCTTTGATATTATCTTTGGCTTCAACAGGCAGCCCAGGGGCTGGGATGTGTCCCGGGGCTATTGAAAGGGTCTCCACAAGGTTCTTTTTCTTCTCTCCTGCAGCTTTCCCATGGCACTAGCTGAGCAGCTGGCCCTCCGCTGTGGGGGTGCTAGTGTGAGGACCCACAGCCTCAGTACAACCTCAGCAGGCCCTGTCCCGGTTGTGTCTCCCCAGGGCTGGGTGAGGAGGACTCGGCACCCTCCCCGCCCTCACTGGCTGCATGCTTGAGTCTCCTACAACTCTCTTGCCAGGTGGTCCGCTGTGTGGCGAATCCATCTCAAATGGCTGCCATCTGTGGCTCAGACCCTCTGCACCAGCTCCCTCCACATTCATCTCCTCCCCCATCTCCCCAAAGAGCCACCAGGGAACAGACTGGCCTGGCATTCAGTCAGCTGGGAGGCACCGCAGGACTTGCCAAAGGAGCCTCCACAATATTGTCCCCCATCTGCCTCTGCACAGACCCCGCCCTGGCCCATGCCCCTGCTTCCTGCAGGCTGTCCTCACAGCACCCCACTTCTGGGCCACACATCCCTCCATTAGACCTGACTGCTGAGCCAGCACGTAACCTGACTGTGGGACACGCCTGAGGTCTCAGCGATACCCAGTAGCGCTTAGCCTGGGAGACCCTGGCTGAGTGTGTGTGGGATGGGGAGGCGGGGCGGGTCCCAGCCCACGCTCAGGAATGGAGTTTCTGTGTCTCTCATTTCTCCTAAGAGATGGAACACAGAGCAGCAGGGGAAGGAGTCCAAGGTCATGGGAGGATTCTCTCAGCAGAAATGAGTGAGCAGTTTTTAAGTGGAGCACTGGCAGGCCTTGTCCCTGGGAGGGGACATACCACACGTGAAATCTTGGCTCTTGGAGTCCCCTGCCCACCCCACACCTGCCCAGGGTGACCACAGGCTCATTTCCAGCGCCAGGGGTCTCCAGTAAGTCATGAACAGTGACCAGTGAAAGGTGTCTTCCCCCAACCTGACTGCGCTGCTCTCTCCACAGCTCTGCGTTCAGTTTGCTTCCATCTCGCCCGCCTCAGGATCGCACTGGAGGACAGAGGGACGAGCTCCCACGTGGTCGCCATCCCTCTCCCTTTCATCCTTTGCGGTGTCTCCGCTTTCTTCGTCTTGACCACGATTTCTCTCTTTTGCCTCCACAGCCACAATGAAAGACGAAACACATTTCTACACCCAGTGACTGGCCAGGTCCCGGAAGAAAACAAAAAATTTGACTTGAAAACGTAGGTTTGCCCCACTCCCTGCCTGTTCTTTCCATCTGTTAGCCACCTCCCTCCACACTTTGCAGCTGGGAAGGAGCAGGGGGTGGGGGAAAGGAGAGCAAAGGGATTTAGGGCCACACCCCTCAGTTCTGAGGATGGACACTACTGAGACACTCTGGCTTGACACCCTCGTCCACTTTTCCCAAATTGTAGCAGGTCCCAGGTTGGTGTCTCTCACAGGCTGAGCTAGAGGAGCGAGACAGGTCTGAGTTGGGCACATCCCCCAGGGGCCTCTGAGGGGAGTTGTGAGGGAATCAGATACAACCACGGGAGCCAAATGCTAATTCCACTCGCTCTGCATCTTGGCTCAGTGAGGGAAAGAAGAAAGATAATTAAATGACTCTCATAGTGCGCTGGGCTATTGTGTCTTTTAAATGAAAAGGGAAAGGATTTCCAGAGTCCTAGGGTTGAGGTTTTCTCAATAAGTTCACAGGAAAGAAAGAGCAGACGCCCGGGATTACTGGCAGGTAGTCTCAGAAGAGCTGAGGGAGCAGCTGAGATGACCTCTTGATAGCACTTAGGGATCTGATTTTGTGCTGATGTTGGAACGGGGTGGCAGGGTGGGACAGGGATGGAGGTTTCCATTGTTTCTGGGTTCTGAATAGTCTCTTTCTTCTCTTCGGGTCAACTTGAAATCAGATCGGCCTTGGACATGTCCAATAAAGCAGGTGGGAAACGCCCGGCTACCACCAACAGTGACATTTCCAACCACAACATGGTGTCGGAGGTCCCTCCAGAGCGGCCCAGCGTCCGGGTGAGTCCAGCCTCCAAGGAAGGCTGTCAGTCAAGAATCCTAGGAAGCGCATTAGCCTGTCCAGCTCTGTCCACAGGCCCAGTGAGGGTGCTCAGATCAGAACCTCACAGAAAACCAGCATCTACACTGGGGCCTTTTGTGTTGGATAATGCTTTGCAGTGTGGGATTATTCCTTATAGGATGTTGAGCAGCATCCTTGGCCTCTACCCACCAGAGGCCAGTAGCCCTCATCATGTGACAACCAAAAATGTCTCTGGACATTGTCACGTGACCCCTGTGGAACAAAGCTGCCCCACCCTCGTTGAGAACCACTGATAGTTCATGACGGACATGGCAGTTGAGAGCTCAGAAAGGGAGGAGGAAGGAAGCAGGTCTCCGGAGGAAGAAGTATCCAGAGAAAAATGTTGCAGAGAGGTCAATGTCATGAGATCTTACTTGGGTGAAAACACCCATGGGGCTTAGCAACACTGTGGTAACTGGACACCTGACCAGGGAAGTTCCAGTGGTGCGATGAGGGTGGAAGACAAACCAGAGAGGGCTGAAGAGGAAGGGGAGGGGAGGTGGAAAAACACTGAAGAGTAGACACTGTTCTTCTAAGAAACTAGACAATCAGTGTGGTCTAGTCATGCAATGGAGTACCCTCCAAAAATTCAGCGGCCTAGATGTGTATGTATTAATAAGGATAAATCTTGAAAACGTAATGTTGAGTAAAAAGCAAGTTGTAGAATACGAAAAATATATCATTTATGTAAAATATACAAACGTGAAAAACAATACTACATTTTTACAGATAAATATGCAGTGCACACATATAACCACGGACAGGCAGACTAATTTTGGATCAGTGGTTGCCTCTGGGGAGGAAGAAAAGGTAATGAATTTTGGGAGGGGCTCAAAGGGAGTTTGGCTCTATTTGACATGTTTTATTAGAGAAAAACAACAATGTGTAGTGGTGCTTTATTCCTTACTTTTCTAAAATGTTTGAAATATTTTTTAAAAAACTTTTTTTTTAATATATTTTTATTGATTTCAGAGAGGAAGGGAGAGGGGGAGAGAGAGAGATAGAAACATCAATGATGAGAGAGAATCATTGATCGGCTGCCTCCTGCACGCCCCCCATTAGGGATCAAGCCCGCAACCTGGGTATTTGCCCTTGACTGGAATTGAACCTGGGACCCTTCAGTCCGCAGGCCGACACTCTATCCACTGAGCCAAATCAGTCAGGGCTTAAAAAAACTTTTAAGGAAACTTGACTCTTAAGGGAAATGAGGGGCAGAGGGTGGTAGCTGGTGATATGCAAGATGGAGGTAGGTTCTCTTTGTTGATTTTGTTTTGTTTCAAGGTGTTAGAAGCAGGAGTGGAATGACCCAGTGGGTAGGTTCAGGAGAAAGGGGAAGCCAGGGAGTCAGGACTCAGATGCAGTGGGGCTGTTAGCCTGGATAGGGAAGGGCTGTTCTTCCTGAGACGGCATTGACAAGGTGTTTGAAGTTGGGGTGGGTGGGCAGTTCTAGGAAGTTAAAGGCATTCCCACCTGATGTCCTCAACTTTTGCTGGGAAGTAGGAGGTAGGGTTTTCTGCTGAGAGGAGCTGGGTGGGTGGAAAGGTATTGGGGGATTTGAGAATATGCCCAAGGTTTGGAGAACAGGAACAGTGGTCAACAAGGGACATCTGAAATATTATCTGTAGTGTTAAAATGTCATCAGAGGTCATAGACTCAATCCGTTTGGCTCCACTCCCCAGGTGTGTGGCTTTCCTCCGGCGATGCTCATAGCCTGGCTATGGAAGCAGGGAAGGCAGGTGGTTGGGTTGACCTAAGGCTGAGGGTTGCTGGGAAGCAGTGGCAGAAAGACAAGGAGGCTAGAGTACTGAGGGGTGGGCAGGAGAACAGCTGGAGTGGGGAGCTTTAGGGAGCAGTGCTAGGCTGCTGAGTGGAGGTGGAACCATGACTGATGATGGACGGAGAGGAAAGGGAAGACTTGGGGACTTGCCTATTCTTAGACTTCTTCACATGGCCAATCTCAGCCTTCTATGTGGGATTTTACTGGAAAAGTAAAATAATCTTATTTGAAAAACAATCTTATTTCCCAGTTTGGGGAGTACGTTATAATAAAGCCCATTTTCTTCTTTCCTTCCTTCTGTAAGTACTTAGCAATGCTTCTTATAGCTGCTAGGCGCTGGCAATAAAGAGATAAGCAAAAGCTCCTCCCTGTAAAGAGCTCACAGTCTCATGAAGGAGATGGAAGGCCAACAGTTCCACTGCAGGGTGGAAAGTTCTAGACTCTACGAGTGAGGGGAGAGGAGGGGCAGCTAGCTGCTCTGGGGCAGTGGTCCACAAACTCCTTAGTCAACAGAGCCAAATATCAACAGTACGACGATTGAAATTTCTTTTGAGAGCCAAATTTTTTAAACTTAAACTATATAGGTAAGTACATTGTTATTAACTTAATTAGGGTCCTCCTAAGGCTTAGGGAGAGCCACACTCAAGGGGCCAAAGAGCCACCTGTTTGCCGACCACGGCTCTGGGGGATCGGGGAGGTTCTGTGCAGTGGGGGTGTCTGCAATGGGCTTTAAAGAATGAGTTTGGACTTGTTGGTAAGGGAGATGGGGCTCCTCCCCCGCCC